GTGCGCTTGCGCAACTCAATTACATCAATTTGTACTATCACTCTCTCACGGTTTGCTCAATAACTTTATTTGTATAAGACATACATTTATACAATTTACTTATAAAGATAGCACAAAAAAATATCTATACTACGATATACATTACATTTTCATATCACAAAAAACCCTTTATTTATTTAACAAAATATGCTTATTTTACTCACATGTTCAAAGTTGGAATTTCTTAAATATTTAACATAGAAAGTTAAAACAATGTTTTCATATGAAATTATACATATCTTAACTAATACAATAGTTTAATTTACATTTTCTCTATACATTTCACTATTAAAACACTTTTAAATTTCTTATACAAAACTATCATTATTTCACTTATTCACAGGAATTTTCACATAAAATAACACAGAATTCACCTCTTTTACACGTACAATCAATCTGAAATGTTTTACAAGTCATTTTACATAAATTGCTGAAATTTGTAAATATTTAAATTTCTACATATTTGGCCTCCTAAGTACGTGGCTAGCGTGCGTCTATGAACTCACACTATTTGAACAACTAACTTTTGCACGGCTATCGACTATCAGTAAAAATGGAAAGTTTAGTATACACTAATATCAACAATACTAAGTGAATAAATGATTCTACTCAATTCTCAAACGTTGAAAACTACCTCTAATCAGATTCTTATCAGTTATCATTTTTCTTATCAAACAATATAAGTGAATGTTTTCATAAATCAATCATAGAAAATAGGCATTTGTTTTCATACAAAACATATCAAACTCATATAAGACAATACTTATGCAATTAATTTCCATTAATTCTACTTATGCACAGCGAACATCTCGACCGGGGAACAAATCCTGGTCTCTAACTTTATTTTAATATTTCTTTAAATTAACATTATTGGAAAGATGATTTCAACCGGGGAACAAATCCGATAACATAATTTATATCTTAAAAATTCCCTATATGAATTTATTAAGAGATATTACTAAGAAAACGATAAACTATTCCGGCCTGGGAGTCGAACCCAAGACCTTCATATCATTAATTCGATATTTCTTTAAGATTCAACTAAGCATTTTCTTATCGGAATATTGTTGCTTGATAATTTGCTTTTTAGAAGCTATTCGTAATCGGTTAACTAATAAATTGAAATATTCTTATAGGCGCGTCGCCAACACAGCCTTACTTCAAATATTAGACATCAGATATAATACTTTTGCTCAACAGTAATATAAATTTTTTATATAAAGTATTAGCAATACGCCCCGGCTTCACACGGAAGATTTCTGGATCTCGACAACAGCGCCACCTACCGGGTAAAGTAAAACCATACAGGGATCCATTCAAATTCTCACAAAAATTTCATCAAAATCGTTCAAGTTGTTTTCGAGTTTTAACAAGACTAATATGAAAGGCATATATAATTCCATAGAATTAGATTCTTAAACAGTTACATTTGTATATACATTCTTTATTTACTAATAATAAGCTAAACCGTTCCAAATAAAGTAACCTTTTGTCCACCAAATGTCACGGGTTTACTTCGTGCTGGACATATTATATGCAGGCAGCGAAGAAAGGAGCACTGAGTCTTTTAGCGTACGAAAGCTTCGCTTTAATAAAGAGTTAAAAATGGTTATAAATTTATTACAATATAACTCTTGAATGTGATAGAGTCGTTCTGCAACTATATTATGATTGTGACATAAAAGGGACAGTTCGACCGGGGTAGGACCCCGTTCTCACAGAATACCAGCGTAAAATAGCAACTTAATGCTGCCGTGCTTCGTATGGTGAGAGTAGAGAAGCGGAGACAATTTTTATTAGAAACGAGGCATTCCATGTCAATCCTCAGGGGTGACAACGCATCTGCACTATGATTCTTAATCGAGGATAAATGTAAAAGACAATAAGCCACAACATTTACTTACCTGACTGGACTGTGTGCTCGTTCAACCTATAAAAAAGTCTGCAAAAAATTTCATTAGCTAAATATCACTAACTCACTTATTCATCACGAGATCTCCAAAACTATACGCACGGTTGATTTGAAATTTGGCATATATACACTTTTCTTAACATAACACCCACTTAGGATTTTGGAAAATTCAACCCCTAAGGTGGTGAAATAGGGTGTTATATCTTATTAAAAAAATATTTGCGTACGATGAACTGTCAATGGTTTGTATTGCTTACTTAATTCAATTACTTCGACTTTAACTCTCCGCGTTATTTCACTTTTTATAATACCGTAAAAGTAGTAACATAAGAGATTAAAAAAAGTCAAATGCAATGATGACTTAAACGAATTGATAATGAGTGAGCTCTGATTATCTCGATAATTATTTTATATTATCTTAGTGATCCTGATTAGGATACTAATCACAAAAAGATAATAAAACAAGTATTAAGTTGCATAAACTATTAAGAAGTTGTATGTGTACTCTTTCCTTCCTTTAAAATATATACACATTAAGTAATTTTTTTTTATAATTTGAATAATGTAACTTATAAGAATGTGAATAATGAAATGTGTATTTACTTTTGAAAATAAATATCTTTAACCATAAAATTATAATATTATTGTTTTGTTATTGGTACGAATACTTTATAGGTACTTGATACGAGTGTGAATTTTCATGTCAATCGGACGTCTACAAGATGGTGAAAATTGCATTAAAATTCAAGAAATTCCGTTACATAGATAGATAGATACACACGAAGGTAATAAAAACGTGTAAAAAAGTACCTACTCGTAAATTTCATAATATGTCCACCAGCTGGGTTCAGGCCTCCTTCTCTATTGGTTAGACCAAACCTAAATTCCATAAATATTTAGAGGTTTACTAATTATTTATCAATATTGCAGGATGATGAAAAGATATTCGTGTCATTACACGCAAGAGAATCCACTACCTCTTCCGATGAGTGTCGTAAAAGGCGACAGTGAGAAACTGAAACAAGATATTGGTAACAACATCTTCCTGATAACAACATAAACTAATATAAAGAACTGCGTTTGCCAACCCGCCTGGCAAGCGCGGCAACTGGCACTACTAGGCAATCTATGGGGGAGGCCTATTTTCAGCAGTGAATCGTCGTCATCCATTTAAAGGCTATCAAACCTTGAATAATTTGATGATTATGACGAGACAAACAGAATTTTTAAAAGTCGCACAAATACACCAAACAAATTATTCAATATCATGTCGTAAAATAAATAGGTAACGTTACTAATAAAAGGGATATTAAAAAGAAAAATATCCGAATGAATTAACGGCTCGGTACTCAGAAGCTTTCGGAAGGGTTCGGCCGCATCACTGCAGTCTGCGAGTTCGAATTCCATACAGACTAACTTTTTGTATAGCCTACAAATAATCCCCGCCGGTTCTAGATGTTTAAAGCATCTCTGACGTAGAAGAAATATACCTAATGTGGAAATTACCTGTATTTTAAATTAAATTAATTAAATTTATTTATTAAATTACAAATACTTGCGAATAATTTTTGAAATAATAGAGGATATCCTGGTGGTGGTTTGTCCATGCTAACCAATTTACCAGTTTTATTTCCGCCAAATGATGTGATAAATTATTTGCGGATTGAGCAAACAGACCTGCATTCCAGACTACAGCGCTTGTTTCTAGTAGGCCACATAAAAGATGAGTAAATGCAATTGTATTTTCTTTAGATATATAGGTAACAAACAAGCACATAGTCCTTCTGATGGTAAGTGGATACCTACTCTGGCCCATAGGTATACGTACATATGTCCTTGATAGAAAAATTTAAATGCGTTATCACCACTGTGGAATAAGATGGAATACCTGTGAAAAGGTTCTCTGATTCTCTACGCTTTTTTATAGGATAAGGCGACAAACGAGCACACAGTCCACCTGATGGCAAGTGGTTGCTGTGGCCCATAGACATCTACATCTACCCTCGATTAAGAATCAAAATGCAGATGCGTTGTCACCCGTGAAGACGAAGATGGAATGCAACGTTTCCAGTAAAAAGGGTCTCCGGTTCTCTACACTCACCACACGAAACACAGCAGCATTAAGCTACTATTTTACACTGGTATTCTGTGAGAGCGTGGTCCTTCCTCGGTCGAGCCGAACCATTCGTGCTACAACTATACTTCTGTTATAACTGCAGTATGACTCTACCACGTATAAAATTACTTACTTACTTACTTACGAAACTAAAATTGCTTACTATACGATATACTGCAACGTTACGCTAATATTCCTAGAATGTACATAGGTAGGTACCACGTTCCTCCCCGTGTCTAATAATAATAGCGCTAACGTGACTTTACCACGAATATAACCTATAAGTCTTGTAAAATAAATCATTAATAAAACGTTTCCGTGGAATTTATTACACACCTATCTCTGAGTATTTATCATCATCATCCTCAGCCCATGTCCCATGCTGGACATGTCCCTCTCCCGCTGGTGAAAGGATTTTCCAAAGGGTATGTTCCGAAATACAACCCATTACACTGGCCAATGCAAATGACGTCATAAATCAACGCCATTCTGGTGATTTTTTATATCGAATATGGTAGAATATGTCTATTATATATTTGCATTCGCCAGTATACTGGAAACATTTCGGAACTTACCCTATATCATCACGCTTGGCAGGTGGATCGCCGATCGTGCTTTGGCGCTTCTGTCCGTCGCCGGTCTGAGTATTTTACGTCTGGAGTAAACGGTATAATTATGGGTTGTTACGAGGATCTCCTCTTCCATCCTTCTATCGCCTCTTACGACACCCGTGGGATGATATAGGGTAGTAGATTCTCTTGCGCCGCAGTGTAAAGGCATAAGAAGTAAGTAAAACTGCGGATGCTAATCAGTCTGGCAAATACGGCAAGTATCCATCTTATGAAGCAAAATATGGGCCTATGGGATATCGATGCCGGACATAGGTTCAGCATTGATAGGCAGATAGTTATGAATGATAAATTTATGTAAGCGATGACGACGAAGCAAGCTGGTTACAGCGCCATCTATCGAAAACATGAGGTATTTCTTACATCTCTATTAGAATTAAACTATATTAAATAGAACATAAGCAAACCTAAGATGGTGTTTTTTCATATTTTACAGAAACCAACAAGCAAATCGTTCAAGAGTATCTTCGGCTTGTTTGTATATTTAGTACAAATGGCACGGAGCAGCACGACGGGCACGCAGTTCGCTTCTCACATCAGTGTAAATACGCCTTCAAGAAGCTTCAGTCACGGAGTTGGAGACCCATTGCGGATATTAACGCAACCAATGAAACAACAAAACAGATCTCCTCAAAGAAATTTCAGAAGTATGAAAACTTTCTAGTTTTTCCCCGCCCTCCCTTGCTGCTTAGCTACTTAAAGCCACACCCTGCTTATCACAAGTAGGTACTTTAGAATAAGGGAAGCATAGTCTACACCCGAGGAACCGTGGTAGCTCAGTGGTTAACGCTCGCTGTAAATATAACAGAACGCGAGTAACTAGGGTTCGATCCCCGCCGGCACCAATGAAATTGTTAATTGTAATTTTAAGTGCTGATTTACCACGCGCTCGGCGGTGAAGGAAAATATCGTGAGGAAACCTGCATGTCTGAGGAATAAGAAAAAAAAATATTTCGAAGACATGTGAAGTTCGTCAACACGCGTTTGGGCAGCGCGGCGGACACTTCCTTGCCCTAAACCCTCTCAGAAATGAGGGGAGGCCTGAGCCCAGCAGTGGGACGTATATAGGCTGTAACTTTACTTACTTTACTTTAGTCTACACCCGTAAACCCTTTCAAAAACGAATATAGGTAAATAAATTCTACGTAAATCGCAGACTCACCTTGTTTCCAAAAATATATTTGTCTCTAACAGAGTTGGATATTTATTTACATTTAATTTTTATCATTTTCATTAAAACCTTTCAAAGTCCAGTGAACATAAGCCTCTACATAGATTCTCCATCCATGAAGGGTGTATTGGCAATAGATGTCACGCTTAGCAGGCGGATAGCCAACCGCAATTTTTGAAATCATGCGGGTTTTTTTTGTCTCCGTCGCCTGTTTAGACAACCATGAGGTTATAGTGGGTAGTGAATACTATTACACCGGCGCGGAATGGTATACATTTATTTGCATTATAAACTATAAATAAGCGTCGATATGCCAATCTTAATAACTTTAAACAATACTTCAGTTCAATAAATCTGATTAGTTTCTTAAACAACTTTTGTATTGTTGTCGTTCATCATCATCATTACAGCCCTTCACAAGACCACTGATGAACATAGGCCTCCCCTAAGGAACGACACAAAACATAGTCCCGAGACACTGAATCCATCGACGCCCTGCATGCCTAACTAGGTCATCACCACTTTGCTTGCCACTCGAGAACCTTTCTCCCCATCAATTGTCGGTTCTTCGAGCTCAGCTAGCCCATTGTCACTTCTGCTTGCTGATCGTTTACTCTGGTTCTACTGGAGAGATCCTCGTTACGAATTCTATCACGCGAAGAAACCAGTCTTGTGGTCGAACTCTCTCTATAGCTAGCCTAGCGACCTTAAACTTTCGCATACGGCCAGCAATAACAACATATGTCAAGGATCATGTCTCAAATCCATATGTCGTTGTATACTTAATTGATTTTTTTTTATATTTGCTCGTTAGCGCAGGGGCAAAGCATTTGACTGCAAGGTTGCGGTTTCGAATCCCGTATATAACGCATTAAGAAAAAAAAATACTTACACACAATAATTAAATAAATCTGGACTTTTATTAGAATTATTTGTAATGATTTTAGGGCGTTAAGTGTTTTGGATTCGCGCTTTAGCAATATTATCACAAAGCACCAGCGTGAAATAGCAGCTTAATTCTGCTGTTTCGTATGATGAATGTACACTTTTTACTGGAAACGAGGCAATCCATCTTAATCCTCAGTCATTTTGAATTTTAGTCGAGGATAGATATAGATGTCTATGAGCCACAGCATCCACTTACAATCAGGTTAACTGTGTCCTCATTTGTCACCCTTATTCTATATTAAAAAAAAAACTTTTTAAGTACCCCATATTCCTAGTGCCACTCCTTGCAACACTCAGCAGTCGGAAGACCTATAGTTTAATATCGAAATATTTTTTAAACCTACCAAAATGAACTTGTAGACAGAAAAAGCGCCCTACCACCTAGTAAGTATAATAATACTATCATATTACTTCATATAGTACCATAGTATAATAATAGTATCAGCAACTTGTAATTGGAGATAAATATAAAAATTTAGGAATACATGAATCAGGAAAAATAGAACACAGCATCATAAGAGATCAAATAACTAAAGAATATTTTAAAATAATCAAGAAATTTCTGAACACCCACCTTTTATCAAATGTCGCGATTAACTCACGACATTTGATAAAAGGTATTAATACATACGCAGTTCCGGTTTTACTTTACTCATTTGGTGTAATAAATTATAAAAATAATGATTTTAAGAAAATAGATATAAAAACAAGAAAATTACTAGCAATTAAAAACCGTTTCCAGTATCTTTCTCTTACCCATAATCGGTTTCTTCAAACCTCCGTCAATCTTTCTCTCTCTACACCTTTGCACTCTTCTTCCTTTTTCAAGAAATACTTCACCGTAACTGCTGTGCGATTGTGAAACTCCTTACCTCTCCATATTCGTCGTGCTAAATCTCTTCACTCTTTCAAAAGTCTTAATCGTATTATTTAGAACGCTATTAGATAAATTACTTTACCTTTCTAGTACTCTTTTCATTTAATACATAATTTTCTAATAATAATAGATATTTTATACATAATTTTCACTTATCTTTATTTGTATGTATTATATATATTTTTATTATTTTGTATGCCCCCCTCCATTTTAACTTTTGTTTGCATCATTCCTCTACGCATAGGTTGTCTGGAAGAAATCTCTTTCAGAGTGATAAGACCGCCTATTGTACATACTTTAATTTAGTTTTAACTGTACTTGATGTTTCTGTATTGTGGTGTACAAAAAAGAATAAATAAATAAATAAAAAGGTACATAGCAAAAAGCAGAAATAGAAAAGCTATACTTACCTGTAACACAAGGAACAAGAGGTCTGATAAATATAGAGTACATGTATAAAGCACAGATAGTAAAATATAAACAATATTTGAACACAGAAAGCGATTATCTCATTAAAATAATAATGCAATACGACACACATAGAGATAAATATTCAATAATAAAAGAAGCACAAGAGATAGAAAGAGATTTACACTTATCACTAGAAAATACATATACGGATAAAGAGATTAAGATAGCAATAGTTAAAAGACACAATGAACTATGGCGACAAAAGCCTTTACATAGACAATTTCCTAAAAAATTATTAAATCAGGCCAATATAGAAATATAACTTTCATATCAATGGCTTCAAGGCTACAGGTATCTCCAAGTACAGAGTCATCAATATTTGCAATACAAGACCAGGCCATTAATACGCGGCAACATCAACGTGACATATCAAATGAGCCAGTAGATGGAAAATGTCGTCTGTAAAGATGAAACCACACAACACATAATATCGGATGTGACAAACTAGTAGGGACATATTACGTAAAGCGACATGATAACCTTGTCCAGTACGTCTATTGGTGTCTGGCTAAAAAGAACAAAATAGAAGTTTCTAACCTCTGGTGGCAGGAAACTCTCATCCGGCCACAAATTAAAGAAATGATAATACATGTGATAAAACATTCTTAATAGATATAACTGTACCATCAGACTACAATATAGGACCTAAGGAAATTAAAAAAATTAAGCAAATGCCACCTTCTAAAAACTGAAGTCAGTCTTTCTGGAATACACAAGCAACTGTCATTCCCATAGTAATAGAAGTAAAGGGAGTGGTAGCTAAGAGTATTAAGAAATACATAGATAAATTAGATAGCCATATTAACATTAGTATCCTTCAAAAACAAGCAGCTATTCACACATCAACTATACTCACTAAAGTGCCAGGGGATACCGTATTTGTACATAATCAACCAGACCATCTACATATACGGATCACCCAACAGTCATCAAACACGCAGCAGTCACCAAGCACAACGGATACAAAAAACACCACGAACACATATACAAATCATACAACAATCATTAGGTATAACAGACATACAACAATCATTAAACGCACCCATAGAAATATTAAAAACGGGAGAAGTGGCAAGGGGGTGTGTCTGTGTCCGCGCGCTATGATCAAAATACTCAGCTTCTATACAAATGCCCGTCTCTGCGAATTAGTGCGCTTGCGACCGTCATCGTGAAATATTACCAGAATGCCATGTTGTTCAGTGGTTTCTTGTAAAAACCGAAGCCAAAACAAAAACTTTGTTAGTCATAAAATCACATACCATACCTAAGTACAAGTATTTCATTACATTTATTAAACGTATTAAACAACAAATCGTAAAATATTTCTTTCTCTTACTACGTTATTTTTGTTTCCAAATATCACAGCCACTGTAATATTTTTGCAGCAAATACATTGCTCCATAACCACTACCTAAATATGACGCCAAGTTACTCAACAAGCAATGTAAATATTACAAAACAATACTTTATTTTTGGGGATATATTGCGTAGTACGGCCGCTGTATCTTGTGACGAGCTAGTAATGTGCGTGTGCAGATCCACTACTATCGACAATAATGTGGATTGGCGAATTGCTATTATAGTTTATTCTCCAATTTGTGAACCGTTTCAACGCGATAGGAAGACCGAAGTGACATAATGTTTTTTTTTGCTACTACTACGCTGAATGCGTAACCAAAGGTCGTAAAGTAAGTTGATTAAATTTTAGGTTAATAATCGGTCGAGTGTTCTTATGTTTGAATCATCGTATATTATTCCCTATCTTCGAAAATTTTATATAATTTTTATGGTTTTGGGGTTCAATATAATTTACAGTTTTCAAAAGCTTCGAATGTATCATAAATACCTAACCGGCATGGTTATATAGTGACCTTGGCTTAAAATTATTCATAGTATTTATTTGTTAGACATGAGTGTGTATTTGTTTTCATATATTTAACAATATTATCACTAACCAGGAGTTTTTTATAACAAAAGATCGCCAAGCAAAACCTGCTTAGTATATGGTGAGGTTAAAAAGTAGTTTAGGATATATGAAAATAATAAATAGGTTATTAATAGTACCTTTCGGCTTGCTAAATGATGCTAATTTAAAAAAGGAATGGATTGATGCCACTGAAAGGCCACCTGACTTCGTTCCCTACAAAAACTAGTACTGGTCGTCGTAATTTGTATGCGAA